AAATAACCTTAATGTAACAGAAGGGTTAAAAATATAATGGCCAGAATTTTTTCAGCCAACCCACTCGCGAAATATTTTCTAACACGTTAAATTTCATAGAAAATAGATTTTATCCAGTAAACAGATGGGGAAGGTCGTGCCGTGTAATTATGTTGGTTATCTTCCACACAAAATAAGCTAATAGCTTAAATTTCTGGTCAAATAAAACACGCCTAATGTTAATAACTTTTACCTGTATGTGTTTGTTGTGTCAAAATACTATACTGCGGCTTAGTTGTATGGAGAAAATTTTTTGTTAAGCTACAAAGCATGTCTCCCCGTAGAAATGTTTATTTGGTTATAAAAACATGCCTTGCGAAAAATTATTAAAACCGGACAACGGAAAGGCGTGCCCGTGCCTCAAAGGCCCTAAAATACAGCATTTTCATGAAATTTTTCACAGAGTGGAATTTTTACGACCTATAAGTCAGTGAGAAATTTAATGTTTTAATGGCACTTGATGTAGTTTTGCTCCCCAATGTCAAATATGGCTACAATATGTAGTAGCGTTTAATTCTATTTGATCATGGATCCACAGTCTTGCCCCTAAATTGCATACGGGAACATTCCGCCATCTTGAAGTTTTTTGGGTTTTTTCCGATTTGCAAGCTTATTTGGCATTTTTCGTAAAAAACGGTTGTATACGAATTTGTAGAGAATTTAATTTCCCACATTTTTTGTATAAAAGCATTTGTCGGCCGCTGTGGTGTAGTGGTAAGATGTGCGCGCTTTCACTCATCAGCACCTGGGTTCAAGCCCTGGTCAAAGCAACATCCCAAAAAATATAGAAAAAGGTTTTTTCTTAACAGCGGTCGTCCCTCGGCAGGCAATGGCAAACCTCCGAGTGTATTTCTGCCATGAAAAACTGCTTCTAATTAAAATGAAATCGCCGTTCGGAGTCGGCGTAAAACTGTAGGTACCTCCGCTTGGTGTGACAACATCAAGGCGCACGCCACAAGTCGGAGGAGAAGCTCGGCCAAACACTAATATATGTGTAAGCGCCAATCTATTATTATTATTATTAAGCATTAAAAAAATCGTTTTTTATTGTATATAATGTAATGTTTACATTGTCACGGTTTCCGCCATTTTTCAACAATTTCTGTAGAACATGCGTAGCATATTCAAATGCCAAAGTTGTAGAGAACTTTCTCTATTAGAGTTGGGTTCTCCGGTGGCACAAAAGTTGTAAAGCAAAATCTAATTTACGGTTAGTTAAAAGCCATATATGCGATCATTTCAAGACCTTAATCTTTGTACTTGATTAAGCTGAATTACGGTAAATTGTAAATATATCGAAAACGTATCCATACAAAAATAAATTAACTCGATTTTCGGAATCAGCGAGCGATTCTACATACAAATTGGATAGTGGCGTCTGGAGAACAAAATTAGAATTAAAATTTGTGATACAGTGTTTTTTACAATAACAAATGATTTTTTAAAAGGCTTATATATAAAAAAAAGATGTGGAAAATTTAATTTTCTACAAAAGTATTTAACCGATTTTTTTTAACAAACTACAATCCAAGAAGGCCGAATGTTTCCATATAAAATTTAGGGGCAAGACTTTAGATCTATGGTCTACGTGTCAAATAAAAGTAAACTCCATCAAAAGTTCACTACTACAAGTTTTTTTCTTCGTGCTAATTTGGTCAAGTTTTCTGGGCTAAAAATGAACTTGAATTGTAATTTTACGCGGGAAAAACCTCAATAACTTTAAAAGTTAGAGAGGTTTAAAAATATTGCAGCAATTTTTGATATCGGAGGATAAAACTACATCAAGTGCCACAAAAATATATTAAATTCCCTTTTTTATAGGCAATTTTGTCCACTATGTGAAAAATTCGATGAATTTGCTGAACTTTTAGCGTCTTTCCGTTATCCGATTTTTTTAATTTTTCCCAGGGCACGTTTTTATGACCAAATGAACCTTTCTGGGGTGTCTTACTTTGTAGGACAAAGTTTCAAAGGAAGGCGCAGCAGTCTAATGTATACATACATATACACTTGGGATCAGCTGATTAAGTTAAGTGACATTTTGACTAGTTTTGGTTAATTATAAAAATTAAACAAACCTTAACAATTACACCAAAAACTTTAAACTTTTTATTAAAATTTGTTATACAAATTTTAGATTTGCAGTTTTGTAGCCCATTAAATTTTAGTAAGTTAAAGTGCAAATTTTAAAACGCTAGAAAATCGCGTTGATTTTTACATAATAATTTTTTTGCTGACGGTGCACAGTGTTTCGACTATATGGAGGCAAGTAGAAAAGTCATGGTGACAGTTGATAAACAAAAAAAAACGGTTGGGCTTAGAGAGGGAAAAGTAAAAGTCATAAATACCAAATTTTACATTATTTACTCACCTCCCTTCTTCACGAACGATACATTTCCAAAAATAAATACGGGAATGGGCGCGATACCGACTAATCAGTTTGCCTTTGGCGATTAACCCATTAAAGAAAGTGTTTTTTTTTCAACTGTAATCAATTATTTAAATGTCGTGTAATATTCAGGTGAAGGTACCTATCATTTATTTGGTACTTTCCTATTTTCTTACCAAAAAAATTACTTTGAAATGTAGATGCTAAAGATTATTAGTAAACAAGTAAGAAAGTCTTAGTTCAGGCGGAGCCGAACATTAAATACCCGGCGCAAGTGTTAAATATATGTTTTTCACCTTTAAGTTAGCGTCCTTAAATTTCGAAATATTGAAATTTCAAACATTTCTGAAATTTATTGTTATATAAAAAGCGGCCGTAATTTTAGGCCGCTTTCAATAATTTTCAACGCTTTGCTTTTATGTTGCAAGCACAATAATCATACCGAGTTTGGTACAAATTGGTAGAACGGTTACCGAGATACATATATGTGATCATAAGTGGGCGGTGCCACGCCCATTTTGCAAAATTTTATCATAAACGTATTTCTTGGTAAAGAATTGTTGCAAGCGTCAATTTTGAATAAATTAGCTTTAATATTTACTGATTTATCGGAGATTTCGTATTTCTCTAAATTACCCTTATATTACCATTATATGTGGGTGTGGTTATTGTCCAATTTTAAAAATTTTCGGCCATTTGGTATGCTGTGCCAAGACCAACAATTGTGCCAAGTTTGGAAGAAATCGGTGCAGCGGTTGCCAAGATATACACATGTAACCATAAGTGGGCGTGGCTACGCCCATTTTTCAAAAATGTATAATATTCTTATTTTTCGTCTAAAAATTATTATAAATATCAATTTTGAGTGAATAATATTCAGTATTTACTAAAATATTGCAGTTTTCGTATATCTGAAAATTACCGTTATATGGGAGGTAGGCGTGGTTATCGTCCGATTTTGCCCATTTTCAATACCATCCGTCCTACGCCCGAAAGAAGTACACGTACCAGGTTTTGTTAAGATATCTTAATTTTTACTCGAGTTATCGTGTGCACAGACGGACGGACAGACGGACGGACGGACGGACAGACAGTTACCGCTTAATCGATTTCTCTTTTCATCCTGATCATTTATGTATACATTTGTCTATATCTATCTCGATTCGTTTTGCCTGTTACAAACAACCGTTATGTGAACAAAGTTATAATACCCTTGTGCACAAGTGCGCTCGGGTATAAAAATAGCTCAGATCACTTTCTTTTTTAAACACCTACGATATCACTGACAAATTTAAAGCACCCTGGATGACGGTAAAGCTCAAAACTTTACAAATTTTTGTATGGGATTTTTGAAATGAACGGTCCAAATTAGCCGGTATACATACTTATGTATTTTAATATTTTTATAATCTGTGGTTGAATTTTTGTACTGAATGGGTTAAGAAAGCTTTAGTTTAAAAGTGTGATACTAAATGCCTTTCACCATGAAACGACTCCAATTTTAAGTGATTATTGCTTTTCAGACTACGAGTAATAAAGCCTTTGGACGGATATTGTGAAAGGTTGGACTATATCTACCTTAAAAGTTACTGTTTTCTCACGGCCCACAGTACAATGTTATGAGTGGAGTAAGGCCCTTAAATAACTTAAAATTATCAGGTCTCTAGCAATACAAGATTAATTGTTGTCTCTATCGAAGCTCTTTAAATAAATCTTGCGCTAAATATTGAAGTAGGTTCATGAATGTCACGTCTTGTTTTTACTTAAGTTTAAATACTTAATATCTGCAAGTATTTCTTTAATGCATTCACCCGAACTTCGGAAGGTTATTACTATTTAGTAAAAGTAATTACCGAGCCTACTTTATAAGGGAGAAAATGCTCAACACCGCCAACCAAAAAAAAAATTATAAAAAATCAACGGATTTTCTAGCGTCTTTGAAATTTAAAAAATTATAAACAGTAAATAAACAAAAGAAAAATAACCAAAACTAGTTAAAATGTCACTTAACTTAGTCAGCTGATCACAAGACTGCGCCTTTTTTTGCAACTTTGTCCTACAAAGCAAGCGATCTATCGGCGAAAATTTGTTGAATTTTTCCAAGTTCTGTATGAAGTTTGAAAGTTTGGCTTATGTGGTTTTGATTAAAGCATGAAACATATTTTTACAAAAAATAACAAAAAAATTTTAACTTGAAAAAACGTTGCAAATATTTAAGAAAAAATGCCTTAGAAGCCATTGCTCTAAAATTTGTAAATTTATGATTTTAATCATAAATTTGATATTATATGTACAAGTAAAGAAATACGTATCGAGGACCTTTTGCAATAACGACACACATGAAAACTAAAAAAAAACCCTTCCTTCTGTCAAGTGGATCCTGTATTTAACCCTTACTACTTACTTCAGTAACCATTACTTTTTAGTAAGGATTAGACAAGAACCAGAGACATGAGTCACTTAACAGTTGGAAGGGGTTTTTCGGCATGGATTAGACAAGGATTAGAGACATGAGGCCCTTAAGAGCATGGGATTTTTTTTTAGTTGTGCCGTTATTGCGGAGGATAATCGATAAGTACACATATTAATGTATTTTAAAACTTACTTAAAGCATCCTCCGGATTTGTGGCCTCGTCCAACATTAGCAAATGTGTGAACTGATCATCTTCCTCCACCAATTCTAATGATTCAATCACAGACTGGTGATCCTTGAAACCATCCTTTCGCACTTGAAATACTACTTCAATCATATATTGAACGCGCTTATCTAATTTACCCTCGTGTAATATATTTTTTAGCATTTCAAAAATTGCACCTATGCCTTTAGAAGACACCTCGGTCAATTTCATGCCACATTCTTTTAGAAAAGCTATAGCTACCTCCACAGAGTCGTCTGTTGGTGTCTCTACCAATAGCGTTAGGATCTCCAATGCAAGTATCTCATGTGCTACACGCTGATTAACTAAATGCGCTATAAAGCGGGATGACGACAAACATACCGCCTTATCGTTTCTTCGGAAAGCTCGTTTAAATTGAATTACCAGACGTTTAAGTAGTATCTCGCCTATATTAGGAAATTTAGAATTTATTATAGACACCAAGGCAGCATAGACATGCGTGAAAGTGGGCGATGCCGCTTGGGCTTGTATAATAGAACGACAAAGTAAGCCGCGGCCACGAACAATATTTTCTTTAAGTAGTTCACGAGTAATAATGGCAATGTTATCTACGTTTACTTTGTTAATATAGCCATGTATGGACTTTTTTAGTGCTTCCCATGCGATACGCTGGTATGCGGCAGAGGACTTGTCAGTAATTTTGGCTTGCATCATACGTAATTTGGCCGGTGGTATGTAAGCACCACCGGTACGGGATGTTAATAAGTCAACGGTTCGACGCTGCCGCTCAGTAATATTTCCTTCGGCATCGCTTACGGTGGCATTGTTATTTTCTGCAACTTTGCTATCCACACTGCTGAAACCTTTACTAGTAGAAAACCATGTATTCCGTTTTGGGGAATTTTCAGAACTATGCGAATTTTCTTTTTCACATCTCCTCTTTTCACGCTTTTCGTCATCTCGTCGTTGTAGCTTGGCATGGCGTCGCTTTCGTTCAACCTGCCGCCTCGCTATTGATGAAGAGCGTCGAGAACGTTGATATGAAGGTGATTGAGAACGTAAACCTTCTCTTGGATTCTGAGAATGGCGATGCCGTCGCATCTTTTTTCCATCACGAGAACATGAACGTTGTCGAACACTGCTTCTACAGGGTATCATTTTCTGATTATTCGTTTCTTCTTCCTCGGTTAAGCAAACATCATTTTTTTCATTCTGGAATTACATCAAAAAGTTATATTAGAAGCTTGATTTATAGTCCGGGAGGCCAGCGACAAGGAAATGCAAGCATTTTATAAAAGCTGAATTTTTGATATTATGTCACATTTGTGGAGAAATTGCCTGCCGTCAGTCAGTCTGATTCGTTAGCGTTTGGCGTGGGGCGGCTTTAATTTTGTATAGAAACTCTTAATCTTGCAACTACGTTATAAAATCTGAAAAATTAATTGCGAGTATATTGACTGAAAAGTAGTATGACATTAGTCAGTCACTAGAATCCTGCACCCGAGCGCGTCAGTCACACATTGAAGTTGTACAAAATCTTTGCATCTTGAAAGCATTTTATAAAATCTGAAATTCGGCTAACAGGTGCAGAATATTATTGCAATTACAAAAATAATAGCCAGTCAGAATTTCCCCTGTAACAGATGCCGTCAGTCACCGATAAAAAGTAATGCCTTGCACTTATAAATATAAGAATACGTGTATTTGCGTATTCTTCCAGCAGAAAACTCTCAGCAGCAAAATTCTAATGAATTTTTATCTGTTCTCTCTCAAAGAGAGAAATGTTAGCAAAAGTACGCGAACACAAAACTAGCAAAAACATACAAAAGCATAAAACAGAAAAGATGAAATGAATATAAATTAAAAGTTTTCCTAAAGAAATTTGCTAAACAAACATGAGTAAATGAGTATTTGCTTTGTTCCGATACATTTGCAGTTCCAAAAAGTTATTTCAAACTTAAATTCATAATAATAAATCTAAACCTAAATCTAAAATAAATTTCCATATTTTCATAAATTTGAAAACAGATGACTTTGATCAGCTGTTTTTCTTGCTGGCAAATGGCTGCTGCCAAAAAATTTTCCATCAGAAACTAGCAGCTTTTCCTCAGAATGAAATGCTCTCAATTTCCCTTACTTTGCTGGATTTTTGTGTACGCGAACAGACCTAATATTAAAAAAAAATTGTTTTTCAGTATATAAAAATAAAACTATTCGTACAGTTTTTTCTTTTGCTTCCGTAGATGTACATACTGTACTGTACTGATTTTTATGTATATATATCACCAGTTTTTTTTTTACAAGTATGTACATAATTGGAAATTTCGTCGTTCGAAATCATATAAATGTTCTCAACTATTAATGGACTAGGAAAAGTGATGAAAACCCGTTATGGAATAGCTCTTGTCTACTTTTGAGCTTGTCATTAAAGATGGAAACAAATGCAACAAAAACCGATCACTCAATTACCGTAGTTGCGCCCGTGAAATGTTTTTTGAATTTTTACTTAAAAATACGATTCGTAGAATATCGACATCCGGTACTACATATTTGTGCCATAGTTCTTGGAACTCTTAAATCGTGTTAAAAGACATATATAGAATTTACTCAACCACCTAGTTGGCTATTTCGAGACACTTCGAAACTTGCACTTTCTGCCACCCTTAGACCAGGTGCCACGTAGCAAATATTATCACCATTTTCACGTAAAACGGCCTCAAGCTCAATAAAATTATTGAATATCTCCAACTTACGCGAAAATTGTGTGCTATGTATGTACATTGCAAATAATAAAATTTTTACTTGTACATAATTAAATAAATACGTATAAAGGATGTCTTAGACCACCCGTCCACCCCTTCACCCGACATTTTT